TCAGAGAAGCTTTGAAAGCCAGTTTCATGACTGGCCAGGGTACGGTGTGAGAGTTGCATTTGTTTCTCTTAAAGTTACTCGCCCCATATATATATATATATATATATATGAGAAAGGAAATAAAGTCACAATTATTTTAAAAACGTTCTTTATTATTTGTTGCACAAAACACTGAAAGAAATCAGAAGCTAGATGGCGTGGGGGGGCGGTATTGGGTTATGGGGGTGAAGGAGGAGGGAAGGACAAGTCCAGGAACCAAATGAAAATTTAGGATATGCCAGCTTTCTGCTGCTTGTGCAGTCCTCAGGGGTTGACTGTGTGGGTCCCCGTAGCCTTCGCCCCCCCCCGTTCTTGGGCGTCTGGGTGAGGAAGCTATGGAACTTGAGGAGGAGGGAGGGCGGTTATTCAGGGGCTGCAGCAGCAGTCTGTGGTCTTGCTGCCTTTCCCGCATTAGATCCACCATACAGCGGAGCTCCCCCATGAGCTTGACCATAGCATCCTGCCTGCTCTCATCGTGCACATCCCTCCTCTCTTTGTATTCATGTAACGCTTTACCCAACTCCACAATTGTTTGCCTCCACGCATTCAAGTGGGCCCTATCAGTGCGGGAGGACTGCATGAGCTCGGCAAACATGTTGTCCCGAGTTCATTTTTTCTGTCTTCTAATCTGGACCAGCCTCTGGGACGGAGTAGATAGGGGCCACGTTGAAACATTTGCACCTGCTGCGGGAGGAGAAAAAAGGGAGGGTAGTATTTTAAAAAATACATTTTAGAGAACAAAGGGGATACTGTTTCTCAGTGAAACAGGCAATTCACAGTACACAGCATATGTTCTTTCTGTACAAGGTCTCATTTTGCCTTTTATACTGACGTGCCTGCCACATGTGGCCAGGCAACAGAATTCAGCTTGCAGGCAGCCTGCAGGCTCTCTGGAATGATCGCTTCACACACCCCCACCACGGGGCTCCAATGAGGCTCTGAGCAAGGATGAGCTCTTTAAACTAAACGTGAACAGCCCAGCGCGGCTGGGTTTCCCTCCACCACGTGGCTCCAATCAAGCTCTCACTCACCAGAAGTGCCTTCTCCAGGGTCATGGTCTGGAAGCAGGGTTTGGGAATAGGGGGAGACTATTGGCTCCAGCATTAAGAATAGTTCCTGGCTAGGCGGGGAAACAGATTCCCCACTTGCCACCTGTGCACTGTCCTCCTCCTCCTCTTCGTCCTCCAAAAACTCATCCTCCTCGCTCCGTGCTACTCCCCCCTTGCAGGTGTCCACGGACAGTGGTGGGGTAGTGGTGTTGTCACCCCCCATAATTGCATGCAGCTCCTGGTAGAAGCAGCATGTATGGGGCTGTGACCCAGACCTCCTGTTTGCCTCCCTGGCTTTTTGGTACGCTTGCCTGAGCTCCTTGATTTTTGTATGGTACTGCACTATACGTATTTGCATTCCTTTTTTTGGAACATAGTTCTGCCATAACAGATTCATCTCCCCAACATGCAATGAAATCCAGTACCTCCCGTTCGGACCAGGCTGGAGCTCGTCTGCGAATCCAGGACCGCGTGGTCTCTTGAGATGGTGGACTCTGCATGGTCGCCTTTTATGGTGGACTATGCTGTTGGTCACCTGGGCTGATGGTGACCAAACAGGAAATTCAAAAGTTCCCAGGGCTTTTACTGCCTACCTGGCTAGTGCATCAGAGTTCAGAGTGTTGTCCAGAGCGGTCACAAGGGAGCATTCGTCAAATTGCGTCCACAGTACCTGTAACCCGGAACTGCGATCTCGATTTTAGCGCTACTCCACTTGCCGAGGTGGCATACAGAAATCGGAGTAAAGAGCCCTTTAAATCGAAAAAACTAGTTTGGTTGTGTGGACGGAACCAGTTTTATTTTGAGGTAACTCGGCTAATTCTGAAATAACCGCGTACTGTAGACCAGGCCTAAGTATATAAATCAGTTGCCAAGTGATCTGAGCAGGCAAACTGGGGAGTTTCAGATGAAGCTTGTAGAGAGAGTGTGGTTCTTTTAATTTAGGTATGGCTCTATGCCACACAGCAGATATGAAAGGAACAACCTCTGTTACCTGCCTTGGAAGTGGTATATTTTCCTTTCTGGAGAAGGGGGAAAAAAAAGAAAATCCTGGTGCATGCAGTGCAAGCTGGTGGACATAATGGAGAAGATATATGATTTGGAAGTGCAAATTTCAGCTCTGCATAGCATCTAAGAAAGTGAAGTCTTCTTAGATGACCAGATTCCAAAATGCATTGCCACATATACTACAAGGGGAAGGATCTGCAGTAAGAGAACTGGAGAGCACAGAAACCAAAGAAGCAAACTGGTGATTTGTGACTCAGAGGGGAAGAGAACCAGGAGTCATCCAACCAGAATAGACATAATGGTTGGCATGTTAATATTTGAACTTGCTGTTCAGTTGTAGAGAAGGCACAGGGGAATACGTTGATCGTTTTACTTTTAGAGCATAAGTGATGCTGTGCATCTTGTCATGTATGCAACTGGTAAAGAATAAAACTTTTGATATCCCAATATCAAAAAAAAAAAAAATTAGGGGAGAAAAAGGTTACTGAATATTGAACTGAAAAGAGTATTTCAGCTAACAATTTTTTGTCAAATATATCAGCAGCAGACAAAAGACTAAAGAGAAAATATGTCCAATAAAAAATAGGAATTTGGAGTTGAGAACAACAGAACAATAGATTTTTAAATCATTACTGCTTTTTGTCTTTAGACAGCTAAAAGAAGATGGAGAGCTGGATGCGAAGGAGATCATATTTCTTGAGGGAGTCAATGTATGCATATAAGAATGTATATCATGATGAAAAGATAGGTTTCAGAGTAGCAGCTGTGTTAGTCTGTATCTGCAAAAAGAACATGAGTACTTGTGGCACCTTAGAGACTAACGAATTTATTAAAGCATAAGCTTTCGTGGGCTACAGCCCACTTCACTGGATGCACAAAATGGAACCTATAATAAGAAAATATATATATATACACATATACACCTACAGAGAAGGTGGAAGTTGCCATACAAACTGTAAGAGGCTACTCAGTTTAAGATGAGCTATTATCAGCAGGAGAAAAAAAACTTTTGTAGTGATAATCAAGATGGCCCAGTTGTCAACTATCTAAATGGGCCATCTGCATAACACAACCCATGAGCCAAAACCCACGCCAAGCAAATTGGGCCGTGTCCTTTCCCTTTGGTTCTTGAGTCCAGCAACCCAAAAGTCACCCAAAGTCTCAAAAGTCTCTGTCCCTAGTCAGTGCAGCCCCAGATTTCAAAAGTTTATCTGCAGAGTTTTTCCTCCCAACCTGCGTGGAAATGGGTGTGGGTTAACGGGCACCTTACATGATCCAAAGCCGACTGCCCAACCACTCCGTGGGGCTCCGCTCTACCAGCTGTCCCACGAACTGCTCCACAATATATCTTCGGGCCCCCCCACTACTTAACACAACAGTCAATAATTTCAGCTCTTCAGTGATTTCAGCTTGTAGTAGAGGAGCCTCAGTGCTGGTACACCACGGGCCCAAAATGAATTCAGCTCAGCAACCTGTAACTAGACTCGTAGTGGAATCAAAACTAGCTCTGATATTCCACTATGGAGAGAGTGCAATTGGCACATAGGGCCCTCATCAGGGACCCATACCACCAAGTATTAACACCTATCCCCAACCTCTCTCAATTCGCTGGGTTTTGGAACCCATGTCCCTTACCTAGCAAGTGCTGCTTAGTTGATGGTGAGTCCCTCCATCATAACAAAAGGCCAAGTACAGTTCCACTGTCCTTAATTCACATAATCAGGATAATAACAGTTTATTCTTCCTGCCCCAATAACAGAGTAACTGGGGCTCCTACAGCAGCCAAAGTGACCATCTAGGCAGGGTGGGTGTGCCAATGCAAATGAGATCAGCCCCTAAAGTGCTTTTCCATAACCCACCACGACTCACCACCAGATGTCAGGGTAGAGCTCATCCTGACTCTGCTTACACAAGTAAAGTAATTAAAAAATGCTTACCATTGATTTCTGATATGTCTCACATGGTGCTAATGTTTGGTTTATTACTTTTGCTGTGATTGAAACCTATGTCACTGTTAGCCATATTTTGTTCTTTTGCTGATTGTAAAGCTATTGTTCATGTGCAGGTGGCAATCAGTTCTTAAACACTGCTGTCTTTGTTGTCAACAAAAAAGTAAAATCATTTTGATTCACTCTCTTGAAAGATTTCTACCCTGGAAAATTAGTAGCCTCCCCGATGAGCTTGCAGATGGCCAGCTAGTTTAATAGCCCCATCTGGTTATACTTATAATTTTGTTTTTTTAAAAAGCCACATACATGTATGATAATAACTGTGAACTTACCACTAAGGAGTAAATTCACTGAGAACAGTGTTGCTGACACTCAGGGCTCATGTATGAGAGAAGGGGCAAATCTTGAAATTCTTGCTTAGGTTTTATTGAGTCCTTATTTAGACCTAAGTCGTGATGCCAGCTCTCATGATTTTCTTGCCAGTCTCAATGTTTGTTGCTTTTCTTCAAGCCTCCAGTTTAATTCTTAGAATTATTTGAGAATCTCTACTTTAATTAAAAAAACAAATATGCTTCTAGCCCTCCTGGTTGCTGAAAAAAGCTTGAAAATGTGAACCCTGAAGGCAATGACACTAGAAAACAAATAAAAAGAACCCACATATTATTTAAAAAAAAAATCACATGATTTTTAAGCCAATCTCATGGTTTCTAGTGACCGGACTCTTGATTTTTAAAGGCTTGTGATTGGCAACACTGTTAATGAGAATGTGGTGTAAGGACTTCAGGATTTGGGACAGAAATGTCATAGTATTAACATTTACATTACTTAGAATGCCTTCCATTAAAGGATTTCACAGCACTTTGTAAGCACTGATGAATTAATCAATTACAACTGCCAGTGAGGTAAGCGTGCATTATCATCCCCATTTCACAGATAGAAAAACTGAGGCACACAGGGATCAAGGGGTAGATCACGGTCCTTTATTAATTTTCACTTTTAATCCACCATTATTACTTTCTCTCTCTCTCTCGTAGTGAAAAGAAGTGGCATGTCACAGTGCGGCCAATTCTCACTGTTTTATCGCAAGTCTTCTGATAACTGATGTTTTACTTAAGGCCCCAGTTACTAGATACAAGTGATTATTATTTGAGAATTTAATCTTTCATTCATTTTTAAAAATAAGTTTCTAGATCACATTGTTGCAGTCCAAAGCTTGAAAACGTAGTCTGAGCACACCCTAAAGTTTAAAAAAAAAATAGAAGACAAATAAAAAGAAAAGAACTCAATGTATTTTTACATATAAGTATTGTAAAGCCAATCTTATGATATTTTGAAATCTGGTTTATGATCTTTTAATAATGCAAGTTGTCAATACTGGGTATAGCTTCAGAGACCAAAAGTCACCCTTCATTTTGGAAGGTGAGACTCTGGACTGCAAGGGTATGTCTGCATAGCACATTAAGCCCAGGCTCTGATTCAGGTTTAAGTCCAAGCCCTCCCAGCTGTCCACACAGAAGTTAATTTGATTTGGTCAGGAATCCCTCTGGACTCAGGTCTGCAAACCCTGGTAGGGGTCAGAGCCACTGTGACTGCAGAGTAATGCACACTGGAAAACATAATCACAACTACACATACAAAATAATGGGGCCTAATTAGCTGTTACCACTCAGGAAAGAGATATTGGAGTCATTGTGGATAGTTCTCTGAAAAAATCTGCTCAATGTGCAGTGGCAGTCAAAAAAGCTAACAGAATGTTAGGAACCATTAGGAAAGGGATAGATAAAACAGAAAATATCATAATGCTGCTATATAAATCCATGGTACACTCACATCTTGAATACTGTGTGCAGTTCAGGTCACCCCATCTCAAAAAAGATACATTAGAATTGGAAAAGGTACAGAAAAGGGCAACAAAAATAATTAAGGATATAGAACAGTGTCCGTATGAGGAGAGTTTAAAAAGACTGGGACTTTTCAGCTTGGAAAAGAGACCACTAAAAGGGGATATGACAGAGGTATATAAAATCGTGAATAATGTGGAGAGAGTGAATAAGGGAGTGTTATTTATTCCTTCACATAACACAAGAACCAGGTGTTACCCCATGAAATTAATAGGTAGCAGGTTTAAAACAAACAAAAGGAAGTACTTTTTTAAACACTGCACAGTCAACCTGTGGAACTCATTGCCAGGGGATGTTGTGAAGGTCAAAAGTATAACGGGGTTCAAAAAAGAACTAGATAAATTCAGAGGATAGGTCTATCAACGGTTGTTAGCCAAGATGGTCAAGGATCTAACCCCATGCTCTGGATGTCCCTAGCCTCTGACTGCCAAGAAGCTGGGAGTGGATAACAGGGGATGGATCATTCAATGATTGCCTGTTCTGTTCATTCCCTCTGAAGTACCTGACATTAGCCACTGTTGGAAGACAGGATATTGGGCTACATGGACCATTGGTCTGACCCAGTATGGCCATTCTTATGTTTACGTTCTTATATGATGCAGGTGAAAGCCCAGGCATTTTGCAACATGGCCGCAGCTCAAGTTTGGGTTGCCAGATTCAGGACTGGCAAGTGCAGCAACATTGTATCACAATTTCCTGGGATTTGGTTCCCAGTCCTTCCATCCCAAAACTTCCCACTCACTTCCCAGGAACCAGAAGCAACTTCCTGGTTCAAATGCGGCTGTTTAGCATTTACCCATGTCCATAGAGACTGCTCAACTAGAATCAGTTAACCCTCACATGTATTAATATGGCCAGCACTAAGAAGTCGTCCTGCATCTAGAGGAACACAACAGAATTCTGATTAACCTCTGGTGCAAGGTGAGCAAGACATTCAACTTCAGCAAGAGCACCTAGGAGATACTTGGGAGGCCTTTTGAAGTTATATCCTGGGAAGAGACCCATTGTCTCCTAATTACCTGCTCCTGGAAATTCCAGATCAAAGGCCCCTGAACTATATAAAGGGTGGACTAAACATGCCATGTGTGTGCTTGTTCTGAGAGGAAGCTGATGATCCTGAAACCACAAGCAGACCTACAGGGTGGGGTTATGAAGGACTGCTCCTACCAGAGCTCATGTTAGGGCTGAGTGATCTCTAGTATGCTTATTAGCATGTGTGTAGATTCCTTTGTTGTTTTAAATGTTTTCTCTGTAGTGCTTTTTCCTTCAGACTAAAATAGGATTTTATAGGAAGTGGTGTTTGGTAACTTACAACTGTCGGCAATCACTCTGTTGTTAGTATCTGAAGAGAAAGCAAGAGAAGCTTGCCTAGGTAGCCTGTCTTTTGCTGGGAACAACACAGTGAAGGCAGGGAACTGTTTAGCCTGGAGATACCCTGGCCAGGAGAGAGAGACACATGGGTCTCCACCCGAGAAACTGCTAGGGAGCTAGAAGCCTGAAAGTGGGTGTCACGCTGTTTGGAGTGGTTTACAAACAAGAGTGCCAATCTCAGGGAAGACTGTCAAAAAGCAAGGGAGAAACCCCAAACCGGTTGTATGATCTATAATTAGATTTTACCAAACCAGTAACAAGTGTGAACTGCTAAAGCTCTAGAACAATCTTACCATGGAGTCACAGACAGCCCCCTTGGACATTTGGATCTATCTTGCTCCCCACGCAAGCTTGATTCTGTGATTGCAAAGTAAGCAAAATAAGCTGTCATAGGATAAGGGGGAAGGTCCTCTCATGGATTGGTAACTGGTTAAAAGATTGAAAACAAAGGGTAGGAATAAATGGTCAGTGTGACAGAGTCTGCTTACGCCGCACTAGCCCAGACAGGGTTAAGCCCATATTATTGACAGCAGAAGTCCCACCTCCCCGGCAGGACTGGGCATGCTCCAGATGCTCTAGCAGTATAAAAGGAGGGAGCCCAGCTAATTCTGGGCTAGAGGCTGTAGGGGAAGGACCTGTCTGGGAAGTGCCTGCAGAGGGCTAGCTACAGCCCCTGACTATGCCAGGGATCAGAACCTTCCTGGGCCTGCTTGAACTCTGGTGACTGGAGGAGCCATAGGAGGTGACTGGCCCAGCTGACCATGGAGAATCTGAAGTCTCATGGGAGACCCCAGCACAGACTGTAGTAGAAAGTGATGCAGGGAGGGTGACCAAGTGGTACGTCCCACCTGGGAAACCTCAGTGTGTTCTGGTAGGACCCCCCTGCTGAGTCAGTGGCTAGTTGCTATGCCACTGCTAGGGCCCTGATTTGGGGCCTGGTGGAGTTGGGAGGCCCTGAGCCCCTGTACTGGGGCTGCCACACCCTTTGGTAGGTGCCCCACCCCCATAGGCTTTGGCTGCTAGGCCATGCTGCCCTGCACCTAAGGGTGGCTCTGTGGACTCTGGCTGCTAGGCTATGCTGCCCTGACCCTAGGGCTGTAAAGGTCACAGTCCATTTACAGAATGGAGAGAGGTAAATAGTGGTGTCCCCCATAGGTCTGTACTGGGCCCAGTATTATTCAATGTATTCATAAATAATTTGGAAAAAGGGGTAAACAGTGAGGTGGCAAATTTTGCTGATGATACAAAACTACTTAAGATAGTTAAGCCCAAAGCAGACTGAAAAGAGCTACAAAGGGATCTCACAAACTGGGTGACTGGTCTACAAAATGGCAGATGAAATTCACTGTCAATAAATGCAAAGTAATGCACATTAGAAAACATAATCCCAACTATGCATATAAAATGATGGGGTCTAAATTAGCTGTTACCACTTAAGAAAGATCTTGGAGTCATTGTGGATAGTTCTCTGAAAACAGCCACTCAATGTGCAGCGACAGTCAAAAAAGGTAACAGAATGTTGGGAATAATTAAAAAGGAATAGATAGTAAGACAGAAAATATTCTATTGCCTCTGAATAAATCTATGGCATGCCCACATCTTGAGCACTGTGTGCAGATGTGGTCACCCCATCTCAAAAAAATATATATTGGAATTGGAAAAGGTTCAGAAAAGGGCAACAAAAATGAGTAGGGGCATGGGTGGCTGGTGACCCAGCCGTTGGGGAGGCTAACCCCTAGCTCCTCCCTCGTGCCTGAAGCCACTCCCCTGCCCTCCCATCTAACCCCCCTCCACCTGCAGGAGTCCAGAGCAGCCCCACCTTGGCCCCCAGCCCCGGGCAGCACAGCTGCAGCATCCCCAGCAGTGCAGTCACAGCATCCCAAATACACCAGGTGACCAGCCCCAGAGTGCTGGGCGGCCAGGCAGCATAGGCACATTGCTCTGAGCCCCAGTGCGCCAGGTGGCCACCCAGGGCATTACTTATGAACATCAAAATGTTTATGATCAAAATATAACTAGTATATTATTTTGTTGTATTTATCAATTACATTTTTACTGTTGGACTTCTGAATATTTTTATTGCAATCAGCCAGGGCAGAGCACTGGGAACTGCAAGACTCTGAGTGGGCCTGGGGATAGAGTGTGGGCAGGCATGCCAGGCTGTTTGGGGAGGCACAGTCCCCCATTGATAATTGGCCCCACTCCAATCCCCTCCTTTCCTTCCCTGATTATGGGCACTCCTAGTTTTGTTTCACTTGGGAGGGTAAGGAATTCAGAATTTGGAGTGTCAAGGTTTATAAATATGGCAGAATAGGACATTTTACTGTATTAAGGGTGTCATAAATATAAAGGGAAGGGTAAACCCCTTTGAAATCCCTCCTGGCCAGGGGAAAGCTCCTCTCACCTGTAAAGGGTTAAGAAGCTAAAGGTAACCTCGCTGGCACCTGACCAAAATGACCAATGAGGAGACAAGATACTTTCAAAAGCTGGGAGGAGGGAGAGGAACAAAGGGTCTGTGTCTGTCTGTAGTCGTCTTGGCCAGGGACAGAACAGGAATGGAGGCTTAGAACTTTTAGTAAGTAATCTAGCTAGGTATGTGTTAGATTATGATTTCTTTAAATGGCTGAGAAAAGAATTGTGCTGAATAGAATAACTATTTCTGTCTGTATATCTTTTTTGTAACTTAAGGTTTTGCCTAGAGGGGTTCTCTATGTTTTTGAATCTAATTACCCTGTAAGATATCTACCATCCTGATTTTACAGGGGGGATTTCTTTATTTCTATTTACTGCTATTTTTTATTAAAAGTCTTCTTGTAAAAAACTGAATGCTTTTTCATTGTTCTCAGATCCAATGGTTTGGGTCTGTGGTCACCTATGCAAATTGGTGAGGCTTTTTATCCAACATTTCCCAGGAGAGGGGGGGGTGCAAGTGTTGGGAGGATTGTTCATTGTTCTTAAGATCCAA